TGTATGTATGTATGTATGTATGTATGTATGTATGTATGTATGTATGTATGTATGTATGTATGTATGTATGTATGTATGTATGTATGTATGTATGTATATATATATATAAACCATTTTATCCTGAATCTTACACTGAAAACAATTTCATGGCTGGCATAAGGCAAAGGGAAAAATGCATATTTTCATGTTGTTCAATGATTTCTCTGCAATTATTATGTACCAAAGCACTCTGATTAGCACTCTGCGGGGTTAGAAGAGCTTTACAAAAGGAAAAAGCATACAATCAGAGAGATATTGTTGCCCACAGGAATACGCTCACCATACCATATGATTCCTTTCAAACTATTATCATGTTTTTAGACAGCTGTCACAGTGAGTAGACGTGACTCGTGATCAAGCGTGTACAGATCAAGCGCACTTCCATTCCTTCTTTCTCAGAGAACTACATTGCAGGCTCAGCTTGCTGCAGTAGCATCATCAAGACAAGCAGATATACTCAGCGCTGTGTGGTAAACTCTCTGCGCTCATAAACCAGATTAGGTGCTGAAGCTTGGAATTTTCTATTTCGTCACCACCTCCAGAGGGCATCGCTGAATGGACCGAAAGCGAGTGGAGCCGGCTGAGCTGTGGCAACGCTGCCAAGACTGGTGCCAGGAGAATAAATGGAACATTTGCTATCACAAATGTTCAGACTATTGGCAGGCACTATAGCAACATATATAAAAAAAAATGTTGTTGTTGTTTTTTTGTTTGTTTGTTTTTTAAAATGGGATTTTCTTTCTCTCTTACTTAATTTTTTGAACAAAGTGGGCCTCACAGGAATACTGTTAAAGATTTGCTACTGTTCATAAAGGAGGTCATCTCAACAACATCGGAGTACATGGTTATTAGAAAGCAGCGCAGGCTCAGATGCTTCATAATCGCTCGCCTGCCAGACAAGCCTGTTCTTTCTTAACAGGATGCAGACTTGTATATTCCCAAACCTGGGATGATATTAAGCTCCTACACTAATATACTTATTTATATGCTAATACACTGTACATGTACTACTTGTTTGATCAGTTGTAGCATCATTTCATCCTCAACTTTGAAAGTGACTTAGCAGACTGTGGCAACGTGCAAACAGTAGTGAAGTACCTCCCTGTGGCTCGTTTATCAAATTATAGCTTACATTTTTTTTTTTTTTTTTACATACAAGGAGGTGAATTTCCCAGCTTATCATCACCATCATTGCAAAAAGTACCTGAACTGAGCTGTTCTCCAGTTTGACAAACGTTCCAATTAACAACAAGCTTAATGACAGCAACATGTGAAACACTATAACGTTACATCTAGAGATATTAGATCTGACTGAAGAGGAAAATGTTATTAATGTCAGTACCATTCAAATAAACAGAATAAAGAAATATTCTTAAATGGGTCAAAATCACAGCGTCTTTAGAATTAAAACAAAAACAAAATGAAGAAAATAACCCCCGCCCAAAGTCATTATCCAGTGTCGATTCAGGATCAGCCAGGTAATGTGAATCGCATGACAATGTCAGACTTTGGTTTAACATAAAATCAACAGTAAAACCAACACTATTATACATGACAGATATCTGACAACAGATTCTAACAATGTGTGTTAGCGAATCACAAGTAACAAGTGGTTCTGGGAGCCACTCTGCAGAACAAACTAAGGTACATAAGAAGGACTGAATCTCTTGGTTTCCTCACCTTGCCCTTCCTCTTCTTGTCCCCTCCAAAGAACTTTCCAATCTGATCCAGGAGGCCGGGGTTCTTCTTCCTCCGACCCAGGCCGAAGGCGGCCTGTGCAGAGCTGCTTGCGGATGCCATGGTTGTATTAGCAGTTGGTATTACGCTTGTTTGTGTCAAATGTGGGGTTCTTGCGTCTCTCTTAAATGAGAGCCGACAGAGGAGGAAAAAGAAAAAAATAGAGGAAAGGGAGGGGAGGAAAAAAAAAGCTAGCCTAATCTAGGTCCTGTTCTTGGCTCTCCGACCCGCACTCTGAAGCCGCTCCGCTGTGCTCCTGGATGGTCTGCAGCTCGTCCGATTCGGAGGGTCGGTCTTTGAAGGTGTTGTCCTCTCGGCCCGGGGCATCTCGGGAGAAGAGGCGGACCAGGTGGGGGCGTGGTGTGGCAGCGTCAGGGTCAGCTGTGCTGGCGGGGCTCCAACACTGGTGGGGGTCTGTGGAGTCAGTCACCGCTGGCTTCTCCGAGACGCAGCCATTGTTCTGGTTCGCATCTGCCTCACTCAGGCCTGCGCGAGAAACAACAAGGGTCATCTATGGGCTTGGGCCTGCATGGCACACAACAAACCCAGAGCAGCACAATGGCTTCTTTTGATGAGAGCAGGGCCTTCCTGCTGCAGCGAAGACCAACAGAGCTAATACAATTTACATGTTAGCTGCAATGAAACCAACCAGTGAGCTGGAAAAGGTGTGAATGAGGCATGAGTAACTGAAAGATGTTCAGTAAGTTAACTACTCCCTTCTCAGGGGCTCTTACCACATTGTGGGCTCTACTTGTGTGCTGTAGTAGGTGGGATCACTAGTTTTGACTCAAACACAAGTAATTAGACTCTTTTTTTTTTTTTTTTTTTTTTTTTTTGCAATAATTCAACTATTTCACTTTACAAGAGCAGTTTTAAAACAATCACTCTGAAACTTGACAATGGCAACGGATTATCTTCCCATCGTGGCACTTTTTCGCTTCAACTCAGGGGCGGCTCTACGGGGGCAATCCCCCCCCCCCCTGCTGTAGAGCCTTGCCCCCCCCCACACACTCTCTGAATCGTCCACTCTGACAGCTATCCGTTAAACTGGCCAGCTCCCACAGCAGAGGACATCCAGTGCATTCCTCCATCCAAAACAATACGCACACTGTACTGACAGAAATGGTGTAGCACTACACCAGAGAATCTGCATGCTAATGCTGGCTGAAACAGTGGTCTTTTGTCACAGCTGCATAGTTATTACAAATAAACAAAGGGCCCACTGTCACTAAAATAACTCCTATAAGTATGGATTTTCAGCCCGATGCACGGTGACACTTATCCGATTTAGGACCCGAGAGCTACCAGGCTGCTGGCTGTGGGTATAGAGCAAGTTTGGATCTAGTCTATGCAGAAGTTAAGCTTTGATTTACCACAATTTTAGGTGGAATTACTTCTACAGAAACTCATCCAATGAGTCTTCTTTTCTTCTGGAAGATTTACATCTCGTGAATCACTTAAAGATCAATTGAAAGATGGGTCATTCCATCATCCATTATTCCGCCTATTTTAACAAGCCAATACTCAGACATTTATTGATGTATCCGTCCCAAATTACAGATCCTGATTAATTATAATGGTAACAAAGACCAGTGAAAATTTCAGGCTTTTATCTTTATTAGTTTAAAAAAAAAAAAAAAGTATATTCACATTCAAACATCGTCTCAGATCTCAGAAAAAAAGTGAAAGGGGTACATTTTGTTCTTACTTACAGCTTTTAAGACAGACTGACACATAATGATGATCAGCCTCTCACCCAGCTTTTTAAAGACAAAACATAAATGCCTATACACACTGCTTTTGATTGTGTCTGTCCAAAAGGTTTTGCAATAAAAGTCTCACATCACCATAGAGAAAGAAAGAAGCTGTTTTTTTTAAAAAAAACACCACCATTTCTAAAATGACGTTTAAAGTGCCTTATTAAACAGATCTAATAATGCAGGTATTTTGCTACCATTGCTGCTTTTTCATCACTTATTCAATCCCAATACTTTCAGGTTGCCCAGTTACCTCTAATACCCTTGCAATTTAATGCCAGGAAAGGTGTGAGAGCCTCTGAAGAAAGCCATATCCTTTAAAAGGCCATTTTGAGAAAGCAAGGCCCTGTAATCTAATAAAAATCTTTCAGGCATAACATTTGCTTTAAGGCAGGTGAGACATCCAGTTCAAAGACCTCTTATAAAGAGTTTATATTAGCTACAGAAATACTTACGAATAAATAAAATGTGCAAAAAAGGTCTAGTCAAATACGATGCAGCTCATATTAAAGCCAAAATTGCCACAACAACCTATTCACTGTATTATTCTCATTTTTTCCTTAGGAAAAAAAACAAAAAAACAAAAAAAAACAGGCTGCTTTAAGTTGTAGTCCTAGCACTGATCCAGTTCTTCACCACCAAATTGGTGTGAGGCCAATAGCCTGTGTGCTGTTACTACAGTTTGTTCACATATGCAGCCAATAGTAAGGCTCAGTGTAACTCTGTGTTTGAGGTGCTGTATTGATCTGTGGCATTTCCAAAGGAAAGTCTTATTCATCTCATTTGCTTGAAGCACCAAATACATACTGCACTATGACAAAAAATTATTTTTATATTGTTTTTAGATTCTTATCTACAACAAGAATACCATCAGGGATCCATTTGATGGCCTTCAAATTCTGCAGCATTGCAATGACCTGAAAGTTAGAGCCAGATACCATAAGAAATTTCCTCACAGGCATGAGCAATAAGCAACAACAAGCCCCGGGTGCTGGAGTAGTGCTATATATGATGGATGTAGCCACTTATGCCATACATTGGCTTTTTGACTTAGTTTCACATTTTGTTCTTTTTTTCCCTGTCCATTTTTAAACCTAATGGTAGCGGTGGGAGATATATCGAATATACTCGATGTATTGCGAATTCTTCCACGTGTGATGGTTAAAATGGCTTTAGCGTAACCATCGAGTATAAATTGCCAGGGAAATATTGAGCTGTTTGCATCTAATTCACTGTGAGTTTTCTTTCCCCAACATCCAGCGAATGCATCCCAACTCTAAAATTTTCTACCTAGCATATAAACACATACTGAGCATGCATGTTTATAATCTACCAGATAGGAAAAAAAATATGGCGACAGCAGGAGTTTCAGACGAGCGAGGGAATGAGACCCTCTGTTGTTTGGATTTCCCTCTTGAACAAAATGTTATATATATCACACAAAGCAGGGATAGTATATTAAAATGCTCAACAGGTTTTGTGGTATCAGTTATTGCACAGCAAACTGCAGAATTAATAAGACAATCTTTTTTTTTGTTTTGTTTTTTTAGTGGTCTGCCCATGAGGCCTTTTAGATTTCCATCATCTGCTTTTTTCCTCAGCACAGTGGTGCTGGCATCACCTAACGCAATACCAAGAAAATACAAATTACACTGAATAATATCCTGACATGCAGTAACTGCAGGCAATAACATGCCAGCATAGTATTAACTACATGTTCATCTTATATTACCAGAAATAAGGTTGCATGCTTGTGAGTGAGAGCTTAATTAGTGAACTCCGTGTGTGCTTATGACAGCCGGATAGCACACATGTGGGTGACTGACGGGGCTGTTGATCAATGCTGATGACTCAGAGATTACTGAACCAATATGTTGGCATTTGAAGCCAATCTGGACTCACTCAACAAACCATACTCTGGTGGACAAACACCCCCCCCTCCTCCCTAACATGCAGACATATCATCAGCTGCCTAATGATGAAGGGTAGAAGATGACAAAGTGACGTGAACCCATTTGTTTAAGTCCTAAACTGTGAAAATGTTATTGTTACCGTTCAATGATCGATCATCGTCACCTTTAAGTGGTTCTATTGGATCTCTTATGAGATAAGGCTGTTTTGTGTCCATTACCATTCTGCGTACAGTGGAGCAGACTGCCATCTGTGTTTTTGATCTACCTTAGTCTTCTATTTGATCAAACAACAGCCGAGGCAAAAAGCCATCAATTGTGATTGTGACCTGCTGCTTTCATTTTGTCTACTGCTTATTTTGCACCCTATTATCATTTGTCTATAAAAAATTAAACTGCTGAAAGAGTCTATCTGAAAGATTACCAGATTGCTTTGGACACACGGTTTTAGCTCAACGAACAAAACATGCTGAGAGTGAAATTAGATGGACGTTAGATAGAAGATTTTGATTTAAAATCCCCCAAATTCATATTAAGTTGTCAAATTTAATTGGGAGAAGAAACAGGACACTATCCTGCTGTATAACTACTTACACAACAGTGGCCCATGGAACTGCAATTAAAGTAATAGAACAAGCTCAGAATCCCAGGTAATGAAGCTGGGAAGACAAGATGTCCTTGTTAGCTAGCTTGTCAAATATCTGTGTGTTCTCACAGATTTTCGGTAACTTTTCTGCGACATGTTCACTGATAATTCCTTGCTGCTGTCAAGAAGTATTACGTTCAGCTCGCACAGTACTTCTAAACAAGCTGAACTGTAGGTAAATGCTTTGAAGGCCTCTAGTTTCAGCTGCTAGGTCACTGACGGCTGAGCGACAGCGTGAACTCTGACATTTTAGCGAATCCCAGGCTCTTCATCTAAATACAGAATGACTTGTTTCTTCCAGGATTCAATCTACCCTTTAATAGCATTTTCCGGGAGTCAGTGACTCAATCAACACCTAAGAAATATCCTTCAAACACCTCGCCAATTCCATTGATTGCAACTGTCTGTGCCGCTCAGTCTGACAACTAGTTTGATTTGAAGTCACAGAAAAGTTGGAGCAACAAAGTGCTTCTTTTCATTTTTGAAGAGAAGAGAATCAAGCAATTCATGTCATAGTTTCTCCCCCATGTAGTCTTTGACTATATTAAAAACTTTTTATCCAGCTGCGTGGCTACACCTGAGACGACACGACATACATGAGACGCACAAGTTGTAAACAACACTAAGGGCCAATTATCCAGCAGTATGATGTATAGCAGGGTGGAGAGAAGCAAGCATCTGCTGAAAGCGTGCTCACTTCACCATGTTGGCTTTTTTTCATAAATACTGCATTTATTCATGGTTTGAAGACGGGAGATAATGAGAACTCCTCAAGCCCTACCATCAATGCTTCTGCCGAGGGCTCCTTAAACCACTGCAGAGGAACCAGTGAGTAATGTCAGACTGCTGTGCATGCTCTTTCAAACATATCACTCTAGGTTTTTGCTATTTTCTTTGCATTAAGAGATGCTCGTCTTATTCAAAATAAACTTTTCATCTTTAGATATGTCATCTTTAATACTTCTCCACACCAGCTTCAAGATATCCCGATGAAAATTTAGGTGACAAAAGTGCCTAGATGGGCGGGTAATGCTGGTGAAGTTACAGGTGTCCCTTCCCACCTTTGAAATCTCTGATTATTGTGGCATGAACAATTACCATCACCACCTCTGCTTCCTGCAGGATCTACATTCAGTAGTGAGGTAAAGACAACTGGCCTGTCTGATCTGTTCA